GGTGATCGCCCTGGGCAGCAGACCTGCTGCCCGCCTTGGGCAGACTCTCCTTCGCTCCCAGGCGTTCCTTCACCGGTTTGTGTGCGGTCGAGATCTGGATCCCGTACAAGTTTGATGACTGGACCGGCTCTGGGGAGAACACTTGATTCATCTCGATCGCGATATGGGAGAGGTGGTCTGCGTGCAGAAAGCGGATGCCCTCCTCCAGTCGGCTCTGGCTGACCGTCTGCTTTGGCCCTTTCCCGGTGTACATGATATGCAACAAGTAACTAAATATGTCAGGCTGGATGTCTGTAGGCTGAATCTTTATGCATTCACTGAAACAAGACAGATGATTAAGTACATACAGGGCTCCAAATTACAGTCCTGATCCATTACCTGCCCATTCGTTTACTCCACCATTTGCTGTTAGAGCGTGCGCGCTGCTGCCTGCCTCCTGGTTCACAACAAGCAGCGCTCCCCGCCATAGACCTGCAGAAGTGCATGTATTTATCCCTGTGATTATAAAGGCCATGTGCACAACCGCAGCCAGGGACAGTGAGGGTGGCCAGCCCCGGGTCACGCCGTCACTCGCACACACAGCCAACTGCCGCTGCACAGCACCGCAGCGATGCCATGCAAGCTACACGTCGCCAGTGTGTGCCACTCCAATAATACGAGGCAAAGAGTATTTGTGTGTTTAAGTAATAAATTCATCTGCCGCTACTGTGTAATCTTTATGAGCTTTGAACTTAGGCGCCTGTCAGTAAAACAACATCTATCGGAAAGGAAGTTAACTGACCTTCTCACTTCCAGCCGAAGGGCTACGCGGCTCATGGCTAACAATAATCCTGCAAATGTGCTGGGGGCCACGACCCTCGAAAAGGAAGGAGAATGGAGAAGGATTTAATCCATCACAAGCAGCAAGCTCCAGCTCAGAGGCAAGATTAGACCTTGGCACCGCCATCGTTATACCTGCAGAACCACTCCTGACCCGGCCAGGTGAAGCATCTGAACAGTAGCTTGAAATAAATTGATGATCTCAGTCTTGGTCCTTATCTGCAAGAGTCTGAAGCGCAGAACTACGATAAGGCTATGGCTTCTTGATTGCTTCAAGCCCATGGATCCTGCCAGAAGGGACAGTCCCACCCAGCAAGCCTGCCTACAAGCTAATGCAAAGCAATGGACACGCTGCGTATGGGCAGGAGGTACCTGTACATCCCTAGATCGCAAATCTGTGAAATCTCACTGCAGGAGGGCTCTGGTACTTACATGTTTATTTTCTCTGGTCACGCAAATGTCTCATCTTCAAAATGTGGGGCCTGATGTTGGCATATGCTGACTAAGAGGGTGGTTTTAAAGTTCAGCACATTCTGGACTGGGAATGTTTAGAGAGCCGAGGCGTGTGCTGGGTTAGGAAAATAATCTCAGGCCGTCTAACATCCCCTCTTACACTTTTAGACTATAATACCTTTAGAAAGGGGAAAAAGCAGAAAGTTGAACAGAGCGGTTAAAAGGTAGGAGGAGAGCTGTGTGTCCTTACCTCGTCTGATGAATAAATATCATCTTAAAATAGTTTGAAAAAGCAGCGAGCACCGCTCTGTGGGCTTTGAAGTAAACATCTCCAATGGCAACTGTGCAGTCACACAGAAAGCCAAACTCCCGCTGCATGTTCAGCTGCTGGAGGAGGAGGACGCTGTGGCCGGTTGTATCCATGGCGTGCCTGAGAGCAAGAGAACAAGATGTTCATCTCATAAAGAAATCACAGAGCTCCCCAAGCCTCAAATGTGGGTTTCTCACCACT